TTTAGTCACGTCCTGAAGTATGGAAGAGAAAACCTGAGCCTTTTTCTTATTACTGATTTGTTAATCTTGTTTTATGATGAGTTCTCATTCTTACCTCTGCTTTCTCTTGGTCTTTTTTCTTGAGCTGAGAAAGTCAGAAAAATTGGAGTGAGAAGACAGAGATTTGTTCATTATTGGTAACAGTAAGAGAACCTTTACATTACACTCCTTCCATGTGTTTCTCAATTTTCAATTTTTTTTCTGTTTGAAACTGGACTTTTCTTAGATTCCTAAATTCAAGACTTTCTTAGGTCTTCCAAGACTTTAAAATATTTAAATCTACAGCTTGGTGTTTTAGTTCACACATAGAAAAAATACTCGGAAAGTAGTAGTAGTGTATATCTTTCTAGCTCCTGTTAGGGCATGTGTGTAAAGGCAATGTCAGAAAAGCCAGTCACATATCACACCAGCCATGCAAATGAAAGACTTGTTCTATTGTCAAAACCTTTGGCCATGACTGCATATTAATAATGTCAGGTTTAGAAATTGTAGATAAGAAAACATCTTCAGCTGTCAATAGTGAACTTGTAATACAAACACATGACAATCTAACTGCAGACCTTTATTTCACCCACAAGCTGGTACAACTCTCGACGCATTATCCTCTGTATAATCTGTGCTGCCTCTTCCAGAGAGGAAGAGGTGGATTCATTTGAACAAGCACAAGCATCATGGTGGAGTATTTGTTCAATCACTTCATCTACAGAGTAAACATAACAAATAAAATGCATGTATAGACAACTTCAGATGTTTTAAAAGTTAAATGAGTAGTTCATTTTAAACACCACACTTCAAATCCTCTACCTGTCAGCTTGGTGTATGCCTCCTTGTACTTTTTAGCTTTGGAGAGACGGCATGTCTTCCCTTCTGAGGATTTAATTTGGAAGTGTGGATCCTGATTTGCTTTTAAGAGAGTGTCTTTAATCCTGAATAAAATGGCCAACATGTCAGTTTTAGGTGAGACGGCAGACAAATTAAATGTTGTGTAGTACTGACACCTGAACTACAGGTACTCACATAATCTCTACTGCCATTTTTACTCTGTGCTGGTAGGCTCTTCTGTGGAGAGAGTTTCTTGTGTGGAACATGTCATACAGATTTGCCATTTCCTGTTGAAAGCATGCCTATAGTTTAGTCACAGATGATGAGATAAATAGCTCGCTCTTTTCAAAATTAATAAAAAAAAACAGGTCAGCACCTTGTCTCTAGAACAAATGTGCAATCGCCCGTCCACATTACACACTCTGGCAAATACGATAAAGCGTCGATGGTCAAAGTTGTTCTGGATGCCCAGGTGGTGGCAATCCCTGAAATAGGAGTGAGAAGATGTGGATTTCAAAAAACAACCGCTCCCCCCACAAAGAGGTTTAAAGTATTCCTGAGATTCTTCATATCATGTAGTAAAACAAACATTATTGAATATTGTTGATGTTCAACGGGAACTGATACAGAGAAATTTAGCAATACAAGTTAAAAGAGGACAGTTTTACTGGATAGCAAGCTTCACCTTGCGAAGTAGTCAAACTTGTCCACATCTATTCCATTTTGTTTGTTTGCCACAATTTCATAGAGAAAGGATTTTTCATTGTTTCGACCTTTATACAACTGCTGTGGAGATGAAGCCAGAATAATAACATTAGGCACAGTTTTTTCCAGGAATAA